CTTTTTTTTTTTTTTATAACTTCTATGTACCTATGAATTATCTTCACTACCTCAATAATTAGGTATCTATTAAAAATGTACACTGCAGAAGAATAAACAGGAGCCTTCTTTGAGAAACTTCATTGATTTTAATTTTAAGAGAATCTGCTTTATAAGAGATTATTTACTCAGTTTTTTTAATTAGCAAGTTCTTGAAGTCCACTTTTAAGTATAAAATGATTCAAATCTGACTTCATATCTTTTAGGATTATATTGTTTAGAAGGTCCATGCCACTTTACATTCATTAACATACTGCAGAAAGCACTAACCACTGACTCTAGATTCTGTATACGCCAAGTTTCTGTAATCCTTTACAAAATTAGCCAAACAATATAATATTATTAGTAATATTAATTACAGCAACAGCAGCAGAGAAATATGCACCAGGTAGCTTCCCCTCCACTACAATAGTATTAAAAGAGGGCACCCAGGCGAAAGGAGGAGAAAACCTAAATTTTGGCATTGTTATTTAAAAAAAAAAAGAGTCTTGAAGGACAACTTGATCACATGTTTATGTGGTTCTTTCAGGGGTAACATCATTACTTACCATAATAAAAACTTTGGTACCAAAATATTATAATATACTGGTGAGGTAGGCAAATTTAAAGGTAGTATGGATACATTTTATTTTAAATCAAAGGCAATCTGAAAAAAATATCTTTTGCAATCAGCAGTTAACTTAATTAAGACCAACATTTAAAATATGAAGTCTTATATTTTCAGCTCTAATTTTGCTTCTATCAAATACTGAATTCAGCCTGTATAATAAAGGTTACATCACCTGTCACAGATAACTGTGATGATCAAATAATAAAATATATGTAAAAGAGTATTATAATTTATAAAAATGCTCTATCATTAAATTACTCAAGTAAAATAAAATATAAAATAAAATTTAATAGTGTTTTTTGTGTTTTTTTGGTATCAGGGATTGAACTCAGGGGCACTCGACCACTGAGCCACATCCCCAGCCCTATTTTGTATTTTATTTATAGACAGGGTCTCACTGAGTTGCTTAGCACCTCACTATTGCTGAGGTTGGCTTTGAACTAGCGATCCTTCGGCTTCAGCCTCCTGAGCCACTGGGATTACAGGTGTGCACCATGGCACCTGGTTTAATGGTGTTTTTAAAACAACAGGCATGAATAAGAAAATAAATAAATAATAAGAAAAATACCCAATCTTTGCCAAAATTAGAATGCAAGACAGTTACAAAGAGAAACTGACAGGTGGAGTTATTATCAGCTGGAGACACATAAAATGAGGAAAACCACACCTAACTCCTTGTTTTATAGTAGGACAGAAGAATAAAAGAAGTAAAAACAAGAAACAAGCCTGGGTGTGGTGGCACACATACCAATAATCCCAGTGGGAAGCTGAGGCAGGAGAATCCAAATTGAAGGACAGCCTCAGCAATTTAACCAGAATCTGTCTCAAAATAAAAAATAAAAAAGGGGGTGGGCAGGGCTGGGATTGTGGCTCAGCGGTAGAGCACTTGCCTAGCACGGGCGGGACCCAGGTTTGATTCTCAGCACCACATAAAAATAAAGGCATTGTGTTGTGTCCATCTACCTAAAAGATCCTTTCTTTCTCTCTCCTTTAAAAAAAAAGGGGGGGGGGGGGGGGGCAGAAGGCTGGGGATGTAGTTTCGTGGTAAAGGGCCCTGGATTCAATATCCAGTAGAGGGGAGGGGTGAGAAAGAAAAGAAAACCAGGAAACAAAAGATGGTTGAGATTCCAACTTTAAATAAACATGCTAAACCAAGCTACTTACTCCACAGTTTCTTGGATACCATTAGGATATACCTCATTTTACCCCTGGTGTGTCTGTGTCATTCAACCATACCTGGTCCTTTCCAAAAGTAAATTTTGATAAAGAAGGGGGTTCTTGAACTGGGAGGCAATGGAACTCCCTCTCCATGGTGTTTACAACCTGGACTGGGACTAAAACTGTTACATCATTGGCTACTGGAAGTCACCCTCCCCAGGCCTTTACCCAGGAGGCAGAAAAGAGTTGGTTAAGACCTGGGAGAGACCAAAACACTAGACACTGTTCACTAAAGAGAGGTTTTGGCTAATTATCAATTAAGAATCTGTTGTCACCTGTGTTCCCAAATGATCTGGTGTTAGTATGGAAGACATTTTCACTGGTCTGTAACCAAATAAGAATCTAAGACAATGTAATATATTCATAATACTAAACTATTTTTTTGTTTTTATGTCATAATTATGACCTTTCTACCTTTTGGATGGTAAAAATATTCTCTTTTAGGAAAGGATGGGGACAGTAGATTGCAGTAGTTTTTAAGAAGGTCCTTACTCTTGACAGAATTAAAAACTGGCAGTCTTACCTCTGGTCCCAAATTTCCCACCCCCATAAATATATTTTTAAAAAACTTGTCTATAAAGTCCAATCTGGGAACCACTAAGAAGTCTCATTTTTTTCTCATCAATAAAACAGGGAAAAGGAACTCTGTTTTGCAGAATTGTGTATAGTAATGATAATAGATATATAAAGCATCAAAACCTTAGAGCTTTATAATCTTAATTGTCATAATTGTTGAGCTTGATTGACTTGAAGGTTTATTCACTAAAACATATACCTAGGTTGTCTAGCAAGAGTGGTCAAAGAGCAAGCTCCAGAGTCAACCTGTCTGAACTTCAAATACTGGCTTTGCCATTTGCTACACTGGCGATTCTGAGTTAAGCTACAACCTCCCTGAGTTGCAATTCTTTCATTACTCAAATGGGGATGAACAAGAAAAGCTATTAAATAAGGCTGTTTTAAGAAGTCAATTAGATAATCCATTTAAGATACTTATCACAGTGCTCTGAGTGCTTTGATGAGTGCATTGATTATCAGTCATTCAAGGTGGTCATAAGTTGCTTTCTAAATGCCTGCTAGTTTCTCCATCAACATCTTCTAAAGATGAAATCCATACTAAGAGGCTGTGAAGATAATCATGACTAACATTCATTTAAAGCATTTCTTCAATTTAAATCTCCAGATCAAGAATGAGAATTTGGCAACAGATCCAGGCAAATCAAACATCTCTATGGAGTTGATTCATTACTTCTGAAATCTGTATCATGTTCACCAAACTAAGTATAACATGCAGCCATAAAGCAAAAGACTTTCAAACAAACTAGCTAACCTTTAATAAATTCACCAACATATTAAAATTTTAGTTTAACTTATGTAAACTTTAATATGGATTAGAATAGCCTCTTTATGTGAAATTAAATGCAAATTAGACACAAACAGCATTATAATAGCGTTTAACTTACCAAAAACAACAAAACCCAACCCTAAAATGGTAAATAAGTTTTTCCTTTATAATTCTCACATGTATTTTCATTAAAAAACAGAAACATACAGAAACACCTTAGAAGGGTGAAACCCACAAGCAGCTCTTTTTCAGTAACAACTATTAAGCATGAGTATGTTACTCTCAAGAGAATGAAGAACGTCTACAAAAGCATTACCCAACATTTTCTATTAATGCCTGATAAAGGTTATATGATAAAGCACTTCTGGCCTCTATATAGAATTTTCAAGGCTTTTTAACTATCGTTAAGAGTCAGGTACAAGATACAAATCAGGCCAAAAGTTGATTAAAAGTCCAATTTAAAAGACAATGAGGGCTGGGCTTGTGGCTCAGCCCTAGAGCATTCACTTAGCATGCGCTTGCCCTGGGTTCGATCCTCAGCCCCACATAAAAATAAATAATGTGTCCGACTACAGCTAAAAATAAATATTAAAAAAAGACAATTAAACCTTTGTTCTGTATTTCTGCAAGCTGTGTAACATAACAATATATAATCAACTAGTTATATACTCACACAAAAGATACATCTATTTGTTTTGGGAAAACGACTTCTCTGACTTCCAGAATATTTTGAAACTAAAGCTGAATATTTATGACATTACTTTGCAATTAGTTCAACAACAGGTACAAGTCCTTAAGGGAACACACACGTTAAGAGGGGAGAGTGGAACTATGAAGTTAGACTGCTTGAGTTTGAATCCAGGTTTTTAACTTAACATTCCTAACTAAGCCTCGGCTTCTTCGTTTGTATACTGGGAGATAATAACAGTACCAACCCCAAAGGGTTATTCTGAGATAATCTACTGAGAGGAGTGCCCCGCCCATCAGGAACAACAGAGCTTCTACTGTTATCCCAATTACAACATTAAAAGAAATAACAATGCCATTAACTGCTTTGCTTAGAAGTGATTGCCACAAGCCTCAGGAAGACAAATCCACAGGTATGAGATGACAAAACGTTTCCTAAAGAAGCACTTCGGTCGAGGTTATTTTGATCTCGCCTTTCACAAGCCACGTTAACTTTCTAGACTAATCTTCAGAACCAATAAATAAATAAATAAATAAAGTCAAATCTAAGGTCACAAATGCAACACCACAGGCAGAGCTGGTTGTCGCGAGCGTTAAAGAAACACCTGCCAACCCTGGTGCACAGATGCTATTTCAAATGAATGGACTGAACCACTCCGGAACCACTCGGATCTTAGAACTTTCTAGTCTGCAGCAACTCTCTTTAAATGAGGAACACAAACACTGCCACTCCCTCATCCCGGCTGAGAAAAATATTCTGTCTAAGGGGTTTCCAGCCACAAAAATCGGTCTTGACCGGCTCCAGAGGAAGAAAAGAAAAGATGCCCGACCCCCGGGGGTGGGGTGGAAACCCCGGCACCAGCGAGCGTGGAAACCGGGAAAACATGCCCTAAAAGCGTGCGCCGGATCCGACCAACCCCACATCCTCAGCTTGGGCTGCGCCGGCCGCTTACCTTCATCCCGGCGCGCATCCGCCAGAAGCGGGCCGCACGCGTGGAGGCCGCGCTCGGCTTCCCGGGCCGGTCCCGAGAAGGCCGGCGCCCGCTCCCCGCCCAGCCCCGCAGCGCCAGGCCGCCCTCAACTGCGTACCGTGCCATGCCTTACCAGACGTTTCACCCAGCGACAGGTGGTGCTTCGGTCGGAGAGGCCGCGGCCCTGCAGCTCGCTCCGCGATGCTCAGCCCCGGCGCCGCCCGGCCCTTCTCAGCTCCGAGTTTCTGAAGCCTGCACCACCTCTGGCTTGCACTGGCCTGGGCGGCCCCCACGTTCCGAGGTAGCCAGGAAAGCGGCGCCGGCCCATGGGCGGACGGACGGGAGCGCGGACCAATGGGAGGCAAGGAGCCGGCCGCGGGGCGGGGCTCCGCATAGAGGCCTCGCCGCGGGGCGCTCCGGTTCCGCGAGCAGCACCTTCTTCAGCCCGAATCCACGAGGTTAACTGTTCAGAGGGCACGCACGCTTGTGTGGTGGCGATCCCGAGGACGGGAGAAGGACCCCGCAGAGTAGGAGGAACTCGGAGGTGCGCCTCCGTGAAAGAGCTGAGGTAGATTAACGGCGGCCCACGCCGGTCCCTCCTGGGGTCTACCGGAGTGTGGGGGGTCGGGGCCGAACGTTCGCGCGAGAAGAGGCTCTGCGCAGGCGCGGGCGGGGGTATCTGCGGGTACCAGTCTTGGAGTCCCGGGAGAAGAGAGGAAGCTGAGGTCTGGGTCCCTCCTGCACGATCCGTAGAGGATAGGAGACGATGGAGCTGGATACAGGGCAGAAGAATGGAAAGGGAGAAGGGGGAGTGCCCAAGAAACACTGGGCTCCCGCACTTGAGGAACTCTTTGTGTTTCGGAGCTGTTTTTATCAGGGTGTGTAAGACTGGCTCTTCCTCAAAATTCTGTGCCACTCTTCACCGCTGGTGACACAGTTATGGATCCGCAGGGGATTTACTAATCATCCCTACCGCCACATAACCATAAATAGATATTCAGTGTTCTCGGGAAAGCGCCGGTGCGCGAAATTTTCATGTCCTTGAAAGAGGCAAGAACCACGCCTTCCCACATCTGAACACACCCACGGTTAGGGTTTAGGAGGATGTTTATTCATTCTTAATTCAGAAATGTTGCCACCAGAAATTCCTTACAGTATTCGAAGTTTTATACTCTTGAAATGGTAATGACAATTTAAGAAATAAGATGCAAGGCATATGGAATAAGCAAATTAAAAGAGATGGAAATGTAGGATGGAGAAAATTGAGGAGTACCAGAGAAAAACGAATCATTCCCTTCCAAAGTCTGACAATTATGTAAATTCTGGAGCAACCGTGCCACTCTGAACTTTGAAGGGTGGGGCAGGTGAGAGAACACTGTAGTTAGATTACAAATGATAGGTATGGCCCCTATAGAAACAAAAAAAAAAAAAAAAAAAAAAAGGGCTATAAATAAGCGTGACCTAAAATAACCCTGCTAGCCAGAAATTTTCAAGATGCAGCAAGCTGAATGAAGGAAACTTCAAAACTTCAACTGCCTTTGCAGATGCTTCATCAATAGAGAAATAAGAGGCAAGGCATAAGGAATAAATAAATTCTTTTTTCTTTGAAATTTTGTCCTATGGTAGAATAATTCCAAGAGAAAGGGTTGTAGAGAGCTATCATGGGTGGGACTTATTTTGGTTTAATTGAGGTCAGTTCATCCTTATTAAATGAAATGTCTGCTAATGTCAAGGAGGCAGATACCTGTTTGGCTGGTCGACTACAATCCACTTATTTTTTTTTTTTTTTCTCTTTAGACACTTCCAGTGATTGGTCAAAGGCTTCTTGTGAAAAAACATACTACTAATTCATTATTAGAAAAACAGGCTTTTTCTGCTACTACATACACCCTCATCAGTGTGTTATAAAGGATGTTACTAAATATGTTGATGAACAACCGGATGGAAAACATGCATGGGGCAAGGTATATGAGAAGGGATGTGGAGACTCCTTGTCCTCTCTGGCCATGCCACCCTCCAGGCACCTCTACGCTTTCAGCGATCAGGAAATTCTCAAACCCTGTCCTCTAGGGTTTATGGAGGTTACGTTACATAAGCATGATAGATTTCATTTTTGACCACTGATGATCAATTTAACCTTCAACTGGAGGTCAATGGTAGGTCTGAAAGTTCTAATTCTAATCACATGGTTGGTTTTCCTAGAACCAGCCTCCTTGGTCCTGAGGCTATCTTGGAACCCACCGAGTGTTCCCTCATTACAGCAAAAATTCTCTGATCACCCCAAAAATTCCCAGAGATTTAATAACTCCATATCGATGTTATCACTCACAGTTACAAAAGTCATGAACTCTGCATCATGAGCTGGGGATAGAGACCAAATGTTAGTACAGAAGATAATCATAGTGCCCAATCTGCAAAGATTTTAGGAGTTCTGTCTCAGGAACCAGGGCAGAGATCAAGTAGATGTTTCTTGTTATATCATAGTATCACAGGCTTCTTATCCAATATGGTGGTAGGGCTATGGAACACTTGAAAGGTGGCTAGTTTTAAAGGGAGATACATCCTGTATTTGAAGTAATTAAAAAACTGTAAAATATATCAGGAACATTGATCACATGTCAAAGCAATAATTTGGATATTCTGTGTTAAGTGACATACATTAAAATTAATTTTATCTCTGTTCACTTTTTTAAGTACTGGGGGTTGAATCCAGGGCCTCACACATGCTAGGCAAGCATTTCGCTACTTATCTATATCCCCTTTTTTCTTTCTTTGTGCCGCAGAACATTTAAAATTACGTTTTGGGGTGGCTGGGGAGTACAGCTCAGTAGTAGAGTGTATATTTAGCATGAACAATGCCTGGGATTGATCCCTAGCATAAGGAAGAGAAAGGAAGGGAAAGTAGGAAGGAAGAAATATGTAGCTCCTATTTGTGGCTCATATTTTATTTCTGTTGGACACTGCTGGTCTAAGAGGACCATGTTAGAACCACAAGGGAAGCAGCTGGGTGGAGCTTCTGGAAAGGCTTAAAGACTCGCATGTGCCTTTGTTTTCTTTTCCTTTCTTCTCTTTTTTCCCTCCATTCCAGTTCTTTTTGCCAGAAATGTTTGGAGGCATGGCATCCATCACTGGGCCACATGATGACAAGCAAGAACATGAAGTCCTGCGCTCTAAGGATTTTAGCAATGTGGAAGAACTTGAGTGTCTCTCTTCCAATGCATACACATGTGTACTTGAAAAATTAATATAGCAACCTAACATATTCCTTTGTGTAACAGGTACTTGGTGACATATTATTTATGTTAGGGATCTAAACAAGGAAAGGATGGGAAAAGACATGTAATTGGAAGATATGAGTAATCTTTAGTGGTAACATGACACCTAAAACCCCCTCTGCTAGTTTCAATAGACAAGAATTACACTAAAATTAAACTCCCAGGAATTATATCCTTTAAAAGGTCTTTAAAGTATATCCTCTACATCCTTTAAAGTAAAATGGTCCCTACCACTGATCATGCTTTTAATTAATGATTGAAAACAGATGCGTGGAAAGTGAGTCACATACTTGAAACAATAATCATCTTAAACTGAAAAATCCTGAACTATTTTGAATTTATTATTTAGCCTTTACCAGTTCAGTATTGCTGGAACTGAGTTATTTCATCTTTCAGTGATGCTGTTATAGTGAGACACTAAGATGTCTCATTGGTTAATATTTAAGAGGCCAAAGGGAATCAATAGAAATAATGCAAGTGTGTAGATATTTTTTAAGTCTAGGAATTCTTAAAAATGATTTTAAAGATCTTATGTCTAATAAATCAGGCCAAGAGCACACAGAACCAAAGTACTATTATTATTATCATCATTGCTACTACTAGATCTGACATCGGCAGTTTGACCTAATAGGAGTTATAAGCTAAAGAAAGAAGTATAAATTAAGTTATTATGATAGGAACAAGACTTGTACATTTTAACAGTAACTGTTAGAAATGATTTTTAGGCACAGACAATAAAAAACCCTATTAGAAATAGTTTATCCCAACAGAGGCTTATTTTTCAAAATAGGAAATAAATAAGTAGGGCCTGGCACAGTGGTGCATGCCTATAATCCCAGTGGCTCTGGAGGCTGAGGCAGGAGGATCGTGAGTTCCAAGCCAGCCCCAGCTTTAGTGAGACATTGTCTCAAAATAAAAAATAAAGAGGTCTGGGGATGTGGCTCAGTGGTTAAGCGCCCCTGGATTCAATCCCCAGTACCTAAAAAAAAAAAAAAGTAACATAGGAGTAGGGTCCAAGGCTGACCAGGACTCAGTCACATCCTGAACGTTCCCTGAGGGAGTGAAAAAGAAAGGTCTTCCAATGAGTGGAGATAGATCCTGACAATCCTTGACCAGAAATAAGGCTCAACTGAAGGAGAATGGAGATAACCCATTTATGGATAATCCATGAGTTTGAATGTGGGCTGGGGCTGCAAATATTCTGGACAAATGCCTCAATTTTTCATCAATTTTTTTTTTATTGTTTACTTGTTTATGTTGAAGTAAACAGTATACTTTGAGTATACTTTGGACATTTGGAATACTTGAATTCTAGAGCTCTCTTTCACACTTTTTTTTTTTTGGTACTATGGATTGAACTCAGAGGTACTTGACCACTTGAGCCACATCACAGCCCCATTTTGTATTTTATTTAGAGACGGGCGTCTCACTGAGTTGCTTAGCACCTCTCTGTTGCTGAGGCTGGCTTTGTACTCACAATCCTCCTGCCTCAGCCTCCTGAGCTGCTGGGATTACAGGCGTGCGCCACCATGCCCAGCTCTCACACATTTCCCCCCCACACACATTCTTTTAGTAAGGCACTGGGCATCTTTTTCTCCTGTCAGTGGGCAGGATTAAATTTTTCCTACCTATCTCAAAAAGCATTGAAAGGAGATGAGGTGAAAATGTGCAAGAGCTTTGTAAAGTTAGAAGGATGAAATGCAAACAAAGAATTCTCATTCAGGCTCCCTGCCTGGAATGTAGATGAAGTTCAGTAAATATTAATAACCATTCATTAAGCAGTTAATATTTGCTAAGCATTATTCTAAGGCCCCTCCTGTATATATTAAAATAATTTAATTATCTTAACATTATGAGGTAAGTATAATTATTATCCCATTTTAAATGTGGAAAAATTGAGGACTTAGAGGTTGATTTGTACAAGGGTACCACCGATAAATAAGTGATACACAATATTTTTGTGTACAGTTCAATGTCTTTTAAAGATAAGAAAAAACCTGTGGAGCACTATGTCAGGCCCACCCCCTCCCTCCTTGCCTTCTC